TATATTAATTTTTTCTAATTAATATCTTCAAAATTTTTTACTTTTAATAATTTTTATAATTTAAAATTTATAAAAAAATTTAAAAATTAACAATAAAATCTCCTATTTACACTAATAATTTAGGATTTTTTTTGTAGGTTTTAAATTACATATAGAATGTATTGACTGAAAGGCATTAATCGTAAAAAATATAATGTGTAAAGTATAAATAAGATGTTAGGTTCTCTTTGTTTTTTTATGATGGTTTAAAACCATGATTCAAAAGTATTTAATTTATTTTTGTGTTAAGTGTGCAGGAAAATTAATTCAAGGCTTCTAATCTTTCCCCACGATTAGAATTAATTCATGTTCCTCCTTGTTCAGAGTTCTGGGTTCAAACCAATTTATTTTGGTTCGAATCAATCTCGAATTTTTGTTTTCCGAAAATGGTTCGAAGCAATATTTCTGGCTTCGAAGCAAAAATTCTGGAAAGTTAATTTTGACAGCTCAACTATCTGTTTACTCTTAATGAGTCACAGGGGATCTAAATGCCTTAGCACTTTCCAAGACAAGTTAGAAGAAAAAGGTGGAACCTTTTTGGAGCTTTTGTGAGGTGGCTTTGAAGGGACTTTAATTGCAAGGCTCCAAATCTCTATTAAAATGATCAAAATTCAGATCTGGAAAAATTGGGGGAGAAGAAGGACGACTGCTACAAAAAACTGAGTTTGATTTTGTTCTAGGTTTCCTTCTTCTTTTCTTCTTGTAAACTTTTGGGTATATTGTCTTACAAGGGTTTTGTATTCTTCTTGGATTGGGTTAATCCTTGAAGGGGTTGAGTGAGTTGAGATTCACTTGTAACGGTTTAATCTTGCACCTGCAAGCAATAGGTTGTTCCGGTTTAATCTTGCACCCGTAAGCAAGAGATTTCTAGTGGATTGAACTCTCGAGTAAGGAGGCTTGGGGAGTGGACGTCAAAGTAGTCAATACCATACTGGTATGCGTATTGATTTTGCTACTGAAATGGTACGTACTGGATACCGAAATTTTTCTCGTACCGTTTCAGATTTATCGCTATAAATATATATTTTTATAAATTAAATATCAAATTTTAAAATAAGATAAGAGATACTAATATTTAAAACTATGATATTCTTATAAATTAAAAATAAGTTTAAAATGATCATTTTTAGTCTCTCAACTTTTAATATATGTATATTTTTTATCCATCCACTTTAAATTAAGGGACTAAAAATGTGTATATTTAGATAAATTTAACAAAATAATTGATAAAAAGACAAAAAAAAAAAAGAAAAAGAAAAATGGACTAAAAAAGTACATAAAAAAGTTAAAGGATAAAAATTATATATGACATTAAAGTTGAGGATCAAAAATGAAATTTACCTTTTTAAATTTGAATTGAGTTGTACGGACTTCTGCGTATTGCAACTGTAGGTTATGAAAAGCCCTTATCCCAAAACGAAGTCGTTTTGAGTTAGGGGAATCTTTTTTTTTTTTTTTAATTTGCAGTGTGTACCGGCCGAAATTTCAGTGAACCGGCCAGTACACCGAAATTCCAGTCGTACACCGGATTTTGACCAAAATTCTTGATATTTGACCGAAACGAAAATTGATGTTATACCGTTTCGGTCAAGTGCCAAAACCGGTATGTACCGGCCGGTACGGTATCAACTCCTATGGTGGACGTACTCCGGGTTAGAGGAACCACTATAAATCACGGCTTGATTTTCTCTTCCTTTTCTTTTTATTTTTCTGCACTATATTACTCTTGTTTATTCTGCACAATAACTTATAAATTGCTAGCTGGGATTACATAAGAGATTTAGCAAAAATAAAGGAAAAAAATAAATAAGTATATATTTTTTTATTTCATTCTCTAAAATTTTACAATGTTAAAATATCTAGTGTTGTAATTGGTTTTCTATTTCTAAAAAAAGACTGACAATAAATTCAAGCAGTAGTTATTTTCCGATGAAGTAAGAGTTTTAATAGGGCTTTGCACTGCCAACCGGGCCTGTGGCCCAATTGGTTGGCCCCCAAGCTTTAGGATTTGGGTGAGGCGGAGGTCAGAGCTTCGAGCTCTGCCACCGCCGTGAACTCCACCAACTTGCGATTTAATGGTCGCGCCCCTCTTTTGAGGGGGTGGATTGTTCACTTGGAAGTTCCAATTACTAACAACTAACTCCCTAACCATTACCCTTGTCAAAAAAAAAAAAAAAAAGGGGTTTGCACTTTCTTTTAAGGGTTTGTTTAACTTATACAATAAGGTAGATATTAAAAGTGTATTAAATATATTTTTTACCATAAATTTATGTTTAAAAAATAAAAATCAATTTTTAATTTATTAACTATTCAATTAAATTCACTTAGTACTAAAATTAATATTAATTTTTACATTTTTTATTTACATTTATAATAAAAATCTGTATTTAATACACCCTTAAAACACATATCAGAAACATCCTTCTTTTAATCTGTAAAAAAACCTTATATCAATTAATTTTTTTAAAGGTAATAAATACTTTTTATATTTTCATTTTATTGTTATTGAGTATTTATTAATTTTAATTTTTTTTACTTTAACCATAATTCTAGTTTCTAAAATAGCAATTAATTTGACACTTTTTAAATAATTATTAAATATAATAAAATTAATTTATTATTAAAATTAATTTTCAATTAATTAATAT